AACGACCAAGGTGCATGGCGCGAAGCGCCACTGCAGTCTTGTGTATATATATATATATATATATTATGTCGCAGTAGATGGCGTAAGCTAACCGCCCCTATGACTGGGCGCGCTGCGGGGGCTCGACGGGGCAGGCTGCGTGGAGACACCTTCTGGAAGAGGAGCCGGAGGCGCAGGACCTTCAGGAGGGCCCTGACGGCGACGCCACAGCGACGGTGCTCTTGGATTTGGTGAAATGCTTCGAGCGGGTGCGGCTGAAGCATGTCTGGGCGAGGGGACTGCGGCGAGGTTTTTCGACACGCGTCCTGCGCATGATGCTTGTGAGCTTCTTGGCGGCGCGCACGGTGGTACTGGGCGGTTGCTACTCTGGTCTGGTGTCGGTGATCTCTGCTATCGTGCCGGGCTCGAGGATCGCCACGGCGGCCTTCCTCTAATTACCTCATCATGATCGAGCCTTGCGACATCACGCTCGCGAGGTGGCCCGTGGACTTGAGCACGTACGCTGACGACCTCACCCTCGCCCAGTGTGGTCGCGCGGCCGAGGTCGCACAAGGTGTCGCAGAGGCTGCGACGCCGTTCGTGGGCTACTTGCGCGACGAGCTCGGCCTCGAGGTCAGCCTCTCAAAGGGCAACGAGCAGGGCAAGTCTGTGGGACTCGGCACATCGTGCTGGTTGGCGCGGGCATTGCGCCTTCGCCCAGGGCGCCCAGGCATCCGCGCGGCGCGAGAGGCGCGGCACCTCGGCCTGGACAGGCTCGGCGAGACGACCGACGCGCAGCGTGGCCTCGGGGCGCGGCCTGGGCTGCGGCCTGCGCGGCGGGGGCGCTCGAAGGCCATGGTCGACGGCTCCCGCCGGCTGAACAGCACCAAGGCTCAGGGCGCCGCCGTCTGGAAGGTGGCGAAGATTGGCCTCGAGCCGGCAACCATCTTTGGCCCCGAACTGCTGGCCCTCGCGCCGCCCGAGGCCCAGCGGGCGCGGACGATGGTCGGCCAGGCGCTGTCGGCCAAGACGCGTCTCAAGAGCACGTCACTTCGACTCGCATACATTGGCGAGGAACCAGGCCCCGAATGCCTTGCGGCGCCGATCGATGAGTGGGCTGGGCAGGCATGGAACGCTGGGGTCCCCCACCCATTATGCAGGCGGCGTAGAGGAGGCAGCAGGCCGCGCTCCTTGGGGGCGACGCCTGGAAAGGCCTGCGGGGCGCAGCCTCCACCGTCATCCTAACAGCGATGGAGATAGGCTGGAGGCGCGCCCGCGCGACGGCCTTCTGCGGGCGAAGTAGGACGGAGCGCGAGCAGTGGGCGCGCTGGATCGCGGCCGATGGGGAGAGGGCCAGCCTGACTCCGATGCCCTTCACCGAGCCGTTGCGGAGTTTCTGCGGTCAGCATCGCAGGAACTGGGGTGCAGGCGTGGCCTTCGCGTCGCAAGCCATCGCCGGAGGCCCCTGGACGCAGGCGCGCGCACATGCCAGCGCTGCCGCCCCTGACTCCGACTGCCGCCTGTGCCTGCAGGCGGGCAGGCGGGCCCTGGGCACGGCGCAGCGCATGCTCGGCGAGTGCCCAGGCTACCGGGAGCACCGCCAGGCTATGCCTGCCACCTGGCAGCACGCCATCGAGAAGAGCCCCGACAAACTGCGCTGGGATCGTGGCCGGACGGCCCACCCTGGGTGGCAGCGGCCCTTCACGCCACAAGTCGAGGTGGTCCGATCGACCGAGGCCGACGAGAGCATCCACTTCGCTGGCGAGGTCGCCATAGACGGCGCCCTGAAGGTGCGATGGCGCTGGCTGGGCAGAGCGGGATGGGGCGCGCAGCAGGTGGCGCTGACCGAGGAGACCGCTCCCCTTGCAGCTGCCGGTGCAGCGCAACATCGACAGGGCCGAATTGCATGCCGTGACCGTCGTCTTCGACCACGCGATGCCGCTGCTGCGTGCGCATGTCGATCGCCAGTCGGTGCTCGACGGCATCACCGCAGGACGCAAATGGTGCACGCGCGCTCCCCGTCCGAACGCGGACGTTTGGCGGCGCATCTGGTTCGTGCTTAGGACACCGGCATCGGGCCCGACAGCATCGAATTCGGCGAAGTGAGGCCCACCGCGCGGACGCGCAGCTGCAGGGCGCGTCAGCTGCGGAGCGCCTGGTGTCCATGGCCAATCCCGGGGCTGACGCCTGGGCCAGCGAAGGCGCAGCCAGCGGAGGCAACGAGTCGCTGGTCTACGTCCAGCAGGCTTGCAAGGAGACGGCCGCCAAGGTCCGCTTCGCCTTGAACTTCCAAGCCGAGTTCGCCGAGCGCGTGTTCAGCACTCAGGAAGAGTGGCCAGACATGCAGCCGCCGCCGCCGCCGCGAGGCTCGCAGGCCCCGCGCATCGGCCTGCAGCTGGTCGCGGAGAAGGGTCGCCGCCACGAGCCTTCCAGGATGGTCGAGGGGGGCTCAGCATGCCAACGCTGCGACAAGCGCGGCGCGAGTCGCCAGGCCCTGACCGTCGAGTGGCGTGAGGGGCACGCCGCAGTCTGCCAGCCATTGAGGCTTGAGCCGCGGGTAGTCACGGCGCTCGGCCATCGCCCCTGGAGCACGGGCCCGTGGGTCTGGAGTGCGCGCTGCGGCCGATGCGCCAAGACGAGGCTCGCGGGCCTGCAGCGCCCGTGCCCAGGCCAGATATCGAAGGATTGGTTAATATCGAATCTGCGTGCATGCCGTGCGCCGAAAGCACGTTGCAGTGACCCGCCAATGTGGGCGAGTGCGGTTCCGCCTGAGACATCACCACGCCCTGGCGGCTCCTCCTTGGAGTGCGGAAGCCAGCGACGCGTTCCAGACACCCCTACACCCTGTTCTGAAAACATCGAATTCCAAGCGACCGACAAGCAAACCGCCTGAGGCATCCCCACAGTCTGCGCGCGAAAGGGCCCGTGAAATAATCCCTGGCGCCCCCCCCCCCCCGAGGAGTTGAAACCAACGCGTCGCCAGAGACATCCTCACATGTTGAATGTGAGGCGAGCCGAAGTGTCGGTGACCTGCATGCGCGTGTCTGAGCGTGACTGAATCTTAGTGCGAGTGGCTCTGAGTGCGCGCGGATCCGGGTATGAAAAGTAAGTCTGAGCGTGAGCGCGCACGAGTCTGAATGCATTCGGGTGCGAGGACACTGGGTAATGCGTGAGCCAGAATGTCGGGTCTGAGCTTGGATGCGCGACCTGACTGCGTGCGCGTCTGTCTGAGCCTGGGCTACATTAGTGTGATGGGAGGGGGGGGGGGGGGGCGGAAGTGCGCGAGGGCGCGGAGCCGTCCCAATCATTATGGCACGTCGGTCAGGAGCGGCGCTCGGAAAGAAAATGGCCATGGGCGCGCGCGTGCGCCATGTGACTCCGCGCATCCGTTCCGCTCTTGCGCAACTCCCCCCATGCCAGACCCCCGCGGCACGGGGGCCCACCCACGCGCCAGGGCGCCGCAATGGGAACAGCTGCTAATGCAGACGGGTAGGCCGCCCAACCGTGGGACTGCGCTTTGGGCTCCGATCGCCGCCCTCATCGCGATTCGAGGGCATCGCCGCCACAATCATGCTGTACATCACTTGCTAGACGCACCTTCCCCATTCCCATGTCCACCCTCATCCTCGCTGTAATCGTCGCTCGAATCCTCGAGGACATCGTCTCCCGCAACGCGCTCGCGTCCCCGCCTTCACCCTCGTCGTCATCCCCATCCTCATCCATGCCCTCCTCATCGCCATCCGCCGTCCTATTCTTACCTCAGATCATTCTCATCACCATGCTCCGCGCCGGTTTGCACACTTTCTCTCTTCGAAGCGAGGGGGGCGACAGACTCTAGGGCAGACGCGGAGCGCCACCTGAAGATTCGCTGGGGCTGGCCAGTTCCCATTTTCAACTGCAATCGGCACGCTGACAGCCGGCGCCCATGTCGGCGCAGCGCTCGGGCCAAATTTGGCCCGACGGGCGCTGCCAAATTACGCTACCGAAGAACCCCACATACCTATATGATTTCCCATGTGTACCATCGGTGCTTCTGCTGCTGCTCCTCCTTCTCCTCCTCGGTGTCCTCCTCCTGCTGTTGCTTCTGCTGCTGCTGCTTCTGCAGCTGCTGCGTGTGCTGCTGCAGCTGCTGCTGCTGCTGCTGCCGCTGCCGCTGCCCCACCTCCCCGTCCTCCTCCTCCTCCTCCTCCTCCTCCTCCTCCTCCTCCTCCTCCTCCTCCTACTACTCCTGTACCTCCTCCTCCTACCTCCCAGCGCACCCCCTGTGGCGTCGACGACATGCCACGCCTGCCACGCCCTGGGAGCCTGCAGCGCATAGGGCCCCCACCCCCCAGCGCACCCCGTGGCGTCGAGGAGATGCCACGCCTGCCACGCCCTGGGAGCCTGCAGCGTATGAGCCCCCACCCCCAGCGCACCCCCTCGCCTGCCACGCCCTGGGAGCCTGCAGCGCATAGGGCCCCCACCCCCAGCGCACCCCCTGTCGCGTCGAGGAAATGCCCCGCCTGCCACGCCCTGGGAGCCTGCAGCGTATAGGGCCCCCACCCCCAGCGCACCCCCTGTGGCGTCGAGGAAATGCCACGCCTGGGAGCCTGCAGCGCATAGGGCCCCCACCCTCAGCGCACCCCCTGTGGCGTCGAGGAGATGCCACGCCTGCCACGACCGTCGTGCATAGTGGCCGAGCTCAAGGACCACCCCCCTGCACACCCGCCCTGGTGCGAGAAGAAGAAGGGGAGGGGGGAGGTGTGAGACGCGGGTGCGGCGCGGCAGGAGAAAAAACATAACCCCACGAAACATGTGGGGAAAAAACATAACCCCACGAAGCATGTGGGGAACTGTGCTGTGCTGTGCTGTGGGTGAGGGAGGAACGAAGAGGAGGGAGAGGAGGAGGACGAGGAGGAGGAGGAGGAGGAGGAGGAGGTGAGACGCGGGCGCGGCACGGCAGTGAAGAAAACCAGAACCCCACTAAACATGTTGGAAAAACGGGGGGGGGGGCGGTGACTCGCCAAAGGCGTCGTGCATACACTTTCGAACATCAATGTTTTCGTCGACGAGGCCCTCGCGGATTTGTGCGATCATGCGGGCGCCGAAACATTCCATGGCCTTGGGCAGGAGCTTCTTGCAGGCCTGCAGACGCACCGGCCACTGCGTGTCACTCAGCGCTCCGTCGACGAAAGGTTTTGCCCTGTCGGCGGATTGATTAAGGGCCTCGGGCAACGCCTTCTCCACTGCGTCACGTCGCACCTGCCAATCGATGTCTTCCAGGACTTTGCTCAGGAGCGGGAACATCCTGGTGCCGTACTTGGCGATGGCCTTAGGAAACACCATCTGGCACGCCATCTGACGCACATCCCGGTCTGTGTCGTTCACAGCCCCAGCGATGAGAGGTTCTGCGGCGGCGCCGAATTGATCCAGTGCCTCGGGAAGCGCCTTTTCCACTGCCTCACGTCGCACCTGCCAATCGCTGTCGTTCAGGACTTTGCCCAGGAGCGGGAACATCCTGGCGCCGTACTTGGCGATGGCCTTAGGAAACACCATCTGGCACGCCATCCGACGCACATCCCGGTCTGTGTCGTTCACAGCCTCAGCGATGAGAGGTTCTGCGGCGGCGCCGAATTGATCCAGTGCCTCGGGCAGAATCTTTTTCACTGCGTCACGTCGCACCAGCCAGTTGATGTCTTTCAGGACTTTGCTCAGGAGCGGGAACATCCTGGCGCCGTACTTGGCGATGGCCTTAGGAAGCACCATCTGGCACGCCATCTGACGCACATCCCGGTCTGTGTCGTTCACAGCCCCAGCGATGAGAGGTTCTGCGGCGGCGCCGAATTGATCCAGTGCCTCGGGAAGCGCCTTTTCCACTGCCTCACGTCGCACCTGCCAATCGCTGTCGTTCAGGACTTTGCCCAGGAGCGGGAACATCCTGGCGCCGTACTTGGCGATGGCCTTAGGAAACACCATCTGGCACGCCATCCGACGCACATCCCGGTCTGTGTCGTTCACAGCCTCAGCGATGAGAGGTTCTGCGGCGGCGCCGAATTGATCCAGTGCCTCGGGCAGCATCTTTTCCACTGCGTCACGTCGCACCCGCCAATCGATGTCTTTCAGGACTTTGCTCAGGAGCGGGAACATCGCGGCGCCGAACTTGGCAATGCCCTGAGGAAGAACCTCCTGGCATACCATCTTACGCACATGCACGTCTGTGTCGTTCACAGCCTCACGGATGAAAGGTACTGCATTGGCGCCGAATTGGATCATGTACTCGAGCAATGGACCCCCCACTGCTAGAGATCGAATGCTGACATCCGCCACCGCCACCGTGGCGCAGACGCTGCATGAAAAGTCCTCGAGCCACTCGGAGTTCCCAACGTTGAATAGTCGAAGTGCTCTGTGAGGGCTGCCCAAAGCCTCGGCTTCTAGGCGCTCTTGGGCACGGCCGCGCGCTCTCGGGGTTCCTCGCGAGACTCTCCCAAAGGAAAAGCCAGGACGGGCCAGGAGGGCCAATAGAAGGCCAATATATTTGAGGGCCAATATAAGGCCAATAGAGGGCCAGGAAGGAGGAGTGTGTGTGAACTAGAATTTTTTTTTTAATTGGGTCGGTGGCCGGTGACCCGGTGACCCGGTGACCCGGTGGGCTGGGTCAGCTGACCCGGTGACCCGGTGACCCGGTGACCCGGTGGGCTGGGTCAGCTGACCCGGTGACCCGGTGACCCGGTGACCCGGTGGTGGGCTGGGTCAGCTGACCCGGTGACCCGGTGACCCGGTGACCCGGTGGGGTGGGTCAGCTGACCCGGTGACCCGGTGACCCGGTGGGCTGGGTCAGCTGACCCGGTGACCCGGTGACCCGGTGACCCGGTGGGCTGGGTCAGCTGACCCGGTGACCCGGTGACCCGGTGACCCGGTGGGCTGGGTCAGCTGACCCGGTGACCCGGTGGGCTGGGGTGACCCGGTGACCCGGTGGAGTGGGTCAGCTGACCCGGTGACCCGGTGACCTGGTGACCCGGTGGGCTGGGTCAGCTGACCCGGTGACCCGGTGGGCTGGGTCAGCTGACCCGGTGACCCGGTGACCCGGTGGAGTGGGTCAGCTGACCCGGTGACCCAGTGACCCGGTGACCCGGTGGGGTGGGTCAGCTGACCCGGTGACCCGGTGACCCGGTGACCCGGTGGGCTGGGTCAGCTGACCCGATGACCCGGTGACCCGGTGGAGTGGGTCAGCTGACCCGGTGACCCGGTGACACAATTTAAAAAAAAAACTCTGGTCCGGAGGCTTCCGGAAGGAGGCCCCGAGAGGAGCCACAAGCGGGCCTCGACGGGCCAAGGTTAAATTCATGACTTCGGTTGTTGAACAACTTATGGGTTCTGGCCATGTCGGGTTTTCGAAAGCCCAAAAAGTCCGAAGGCCCCCAGAAGTGCCCATGACGACCCAGTCTGCTTCAAGGGCGGCCAAAGAAAACCCTAAGAGGGCCCTCCTGAGGGGCCGAGAAGAGGAAGTCGATTTGGCAGTGGGAGCGCACCCTCCCCTAGATGCCCCCCCCCCTCAACCCCCAACATGCCCCCAGGAGGGCTCCGAACGGCCCCCTGGAGTTATCAAAAACGCCTGGGCCAACGGCCCAGGCGTAGGTGGCTCGATGGGCCGAAGGCAACAAGAGAGCCGCCGCCGGTGTCGGTGTCATTGAGGGCTTTGCTGAGAATCGGGAACATATCGAGGCCAAACTTGACAATTGCCTCTGGCAATACTTTCTCCACCAGCACCTTCCGCACTGACGTGTCTGCATCATCGAATGCTTTGACGACGAGTGGCGCTGCCGAGCCGCCGATCTTGCCAACTGCATGTGGCAAAATCACCTCGACAACCACCCTTCTTAAACCCACCTCGGCGTCGTTCAGGGCATCGCGGATGAGCGGAACGGCATTGCTGCCGTTCCCGTCAATGGCGGCACGCAGGGCAGACGCTGCCGGCGCCAAGCATCGATGAGAGGCTGCGGCTGCGTTGCACCATTGCTCGGTGCATGTGTCAGACCCACAAGCACATGGATACACTGAACTGCTGCCTGCCACAAGGGATGATGTAAACCCGCACCAGGGCTCTCAGGCCCATTTGAGGCCCAGGAGTGGTGAACATGGCATGGCCCACATTACGCATACATCTGCGCAGCCTGGGCCTCAAAAGTGGGCATGAACAATTCTGGTGGTGGTGTATATGCTCCTCCGTTCCAGCCTGTGCCATTGCTCACGCTACAAGATGTCCAGCCCAGTGTACTCCTGAGGGATATGTCCAGGACGCTGTCGAGCACAGCGGGCCGCGCTCCGTGCACCGACCAAGGCAATACCGAAAAGGCGGCTACATGAAGCAAGCGAAACATCATGCTTGCACGCTTGTTCTCAAACAACACGGTTTTACCGCCAGATGCTTTGTGCTTTGAGCCAAACGGCGGAAGACCGACCCGTGCACGCGCACCTCCTCCACCGCCGGGGCGTCGTGAGCATTCGTCCGTCCAATGTTGCCGAGGCGCAACACCACGCGCACATACTTTTTGATCTGCGGGGCGAGAGCGAACCTCTTCCGCTAAAAGCTAGGCGGGCTACGCACAGCTTTAATTAGGGAGACAGGGGCACGCACACGCACACACACACACACAACTGGTAAGCTCATAGGGAGGGTCGAATCACGGCTCGTCATCGGGCGACCTGAGGAGTCTAGCTTGCGACTCGCCCTTGGGCATCCCCCGCTGCGTGTCCTGGGCTTGCAACTCGCGCCTTGCCCCTTTGCTGCTTGTGCTTCCTCGGTTTGCCGCTTGCCCCTCCCAAAATTGCTGTTTGCGATTCCCTCTCTTTGCCTTCCATTGGGACGGAAAGGAAATGAGAGATGAAGAAAAAAACGAAGAAGAAGAAGAAAACGACAGAGGGAGGCGCAAGCGAAAGGTGTAGAGGCGAACGACATGTGAGTGTGCTCGCGCGCATGCGAGCGAGCGACTGGATCTCTAGAACTACGCAGCGCATAATCCCGTCAGCCCCCTGGGCGTAGGTGGCTTAGCGAATTAGCTGAATATTGAAACTGACTCCTTGCCTTGAGCCCTGTGGTAGGCCTGGCCCCCCAGCGGTCAATTTGACAGCATCAGGTCGCCCAGTCTGACCCTGAGTCGCCCGAGGTGGCGCACGACAGCCCAGTATGGCTCAATGTGGCACTAATTGATAATCTCCCCTTCGCTCAAAAACCAAAACCGTCCGTTCGACATCACAATATGTTGAAGAGGATGGGCATTTCGGGAGGGGGGGGGGGGGGGGGGGGGGCAATTCTCAGGATGACGTTGGATCAAGATGGCTCCAAGATGGAGATGGCCCCTGCTGATGCTCGAAGATGCCCCTCCCCAAGATGGCGCACGATGGTCCAAGCTGGCCCAAGATGACCTCGAGCATGCCTCCAAGAGGCCCCAATACATCCCCCAAGTGACCCCGAAACCTCCTCGGGACGCCAACGAGGGGCCAATATCTTCCAACATCCGAATGTTGGCCAACGATGCTTGTCGACCCAAATTGCACATAAGCCCAAAGATGGATCCAACCTTGCCCAAAAGATCCGCGAGGAGAGGGCCCAGAATAAAAATCCAATATGGCTCCTAGAGACCACCTCTCTGGCTCCGACGGCCGATGCTAACCGGTGCCGCCTCCGTTTTGATCGGCGTCTTCCAAGATGGCCCCGAAAGGCCCAAAGAGGAGCTCGAGAGCCCACTCCCCGAACAACCCAAGAGAGCCTCAACATGGGTTCAACGAACCTACTACAAGCTCACAGAACGAAAGATCCGTGAAGGCCCTTTTACGCCTGATCCACATCATCGTCGCCGCCGCATTCTTATCCCTCTCATCCCCCGTCCCTCTCCTACTCCATCACATCCCCTTTCTCCCATGCCTCCCACCACACATTCAACAGAAATGAAGTGAGAACGCGTTCCGTCAAAACCCTCTGGGTTCTGCTCGCTGACTTGCTCCCCCTCCTCCTCCTCCTGCTCCTCCTCCTCCTGCTTTTCCTCCTCTTGTTCGTCCTCCTCCCTGCTCCCCTCCCCTCCCCCGCATCTTCCTCCTCCTCCTCGTCCTCCTCTTGCTCCTCCTCCTCGTCCTCCTCCTCCTCCTCCTCATCATCATCAGCATCAGCATCAGCATCAGCATCAGCATCAGCATCAGCATCCGCATCAGCATCAGCAGCAGCAGCAGCAGCAGCAGCATCATCATCATCATCAGCATCATCATCATCATCATCATCATCATCAGCATCATCACCATCACCATCCCCATCGTCATCGTCATCGTCATCGTCATCGTCCTTCTTCCCCCCCTTCTCCTCCTCCTCCTCCTCCTCCTCCTCCTCCTCCTCCTGCTCCTGCTCCTGCTCCTCCTCCTCCTCCTCATCATCATCATCAACATCATCATCCTTTCCCTATTCCACCGAAGGATCCGCGAATGCATAGATGGCTCACTCCCGGGCCCACCAAGGCCATCCCGAGATTCCGTTCGACGGCTGCCCCACCTGCCCCCCCACCCCATGTCCAACTACATTCCCCTACACGCCTGCTTCCCTGGTCAGGGGGACTCGCGTGAGCATCGCTTCTGGATGGGCTGGTGGGGGCACGCGAGGCGTCAACGATTCTCAGTATTCCTGGGCGCTCTCGGGATCCCCAGGCGTGTCTTTCCCTCAGGCCTCGGGAACGCGGTTGAGAGTCGGGAGGAGGAGGAGGAGGAGGAGGGGGACGAGGAGGCGGAGGAGGAGGAGGAGGAGGAGAAGGAGGGGGACGGAGAATAGAAAATAAACGACCCCCGAAACGGCCTCCCCGGTAACGCGTTGGGGGGCAGGCCTCCTGGGCGGGAAACCTATGCACGTCCACGGCCTCGCGGTCTGGATTCCTCGACCGAGATCCTGCGGATCCAGGGCGGCGGCTGAGCGCCGCTGCCGCGCGCGGGACGCACCCGTTGGATCGCGCATGTGTGGGAGTGGGCTCGCGCCTCGGTGACGAGACCGCACGGGCATGAATAGTAGATACATGATCCTCGCTCGTGAACTCCATTTCTCAGCCACCCAGCGAATCTATTCAAAGTTGGTCTCTGGAACCCGCCTGTGCTCCAGCCTGGCCACTGTTTCGAGCTGCGTCCAACCGTGGCGACGAGAGCCTCCAGAAACGTCGAAAAACCATCAAAACGAAGTGGTCGGACGCCGTCGTCGTCGTCGTCGTCGTCGTCGTCGCGAGTGCATGGGCATGGGTACGTTCCTCATCGTCGCCCGCGCGCTGGCTTCCGTTTGGTTTCGTTGAGCTCGGACGGCTCCCTGGAGGGCCCCCCCCCAGAGACTTCCAACAATCTCAATCCTCGCAGCTCGACTCTTCCTCCTCGAACCCTCGTTATTCGAGTCCTCGCTCCTCGGATCCTCGCTCCTCGATTAGAGATGCAGGAGACGAGTCCTGAAGGGAACGGGTCTTGGACCCAGGGCCCTTGCACCGAGTCCAATTTTTCGTCCAGTCTTTTTTGTTGACAGTACTGGGGCCTACTATGGGGAACCCAAGGGGTCCCAGAAAACTTGAAAACATCAGGACCCCGCTGCCGCAAGGACCCCTTGGGAGGGAGAGGCAGGAAGAGAATGCGGAGACGGAAGAGGAGGCGGAGGAAAGGGATGATGGGGAGGCGGAAATGAGCAAGAGGAACCGAGGAAGGGGAGGAGGAAAGAGGGGAGGAGAGAGAACGAGAGGAGGGGGAGGAAGCGGATGAGAGGGAGGAGGAGAGAGATGAGAGGGGGGAAGGAGAGGAGCAGCAACAGGAGGAGGAGGCCGAGAAGGAGAGGGAGGGTGAGGAGGAGGAGGAGGAGGAGGAGGAGGAGGAGGAGACTGAGGAGGGTGAGAAGGAGGAGGAATAGGAGGAGGAGGAGGAGGAGGAGGAGGAGGATGAGGAACTGAGAAAGAACAAATTCGTGGCGACCGCCGCCCCGCCCGATCCTCGAGGGAGGCGGGATGAGGCGGCCGGTCCTCCCCGCGAGGGCCGCCCGCGAGGCCTGCGCCCTGCAGGCGGGGGGCGACACGAAGCACGCCCAGCCGTCGCCGAGGTCGTGCGCGGCGGCCTCGTGCTGGAGGGAGGGGGGGAGGAGGTGGGAGGGGAGCGAGGGAGGGAGGATGAGCGAAGCGGGAGGGAGGAGGACGAGAGGGGGAGGATTCGGGAAGGAGGGAGGGAGGGAGTGGAGGGGGGGACGAGGGAGGAGGGGTGAGGGACGCTGCGGGAGGACGAGGAAGAGAGGGAGGGAAGGAATATGGGGAGGGAAGGAGGGGGGGAGGAGGGGCAAGACGGGAGGAAAGGAGTACCCCCAGAGGTTCTTGACACCCAAAAGCTAGTGGGGAAGAAGGAGGATGGGAGTGGGGAGGATGTGGGAGAGGGGATGAGAGAGAGGAAACCTCAGGTGGAGACAAACTCAGAGAGGGAAGCATCGAGCCTGAATCGGGGATACATGGCCTGAAACATCGAGCCTGAATCGAGTCTGATTAGGTCCCCGATCGGAAATCCGCACGTTCCTGGGCGGTGTGGGCTATCGTGTCATCGGCGATCAATGGGCGATGTTGCCCCTGAATGAGGGGCGAGGGGAGAGGGGGAGGGAGGAGGGAGGACTATATAGCACCCCGCAGTTGCGGATAAGCGTGAGGGGGCGGCGGGGACGTCGGCAGTGTGCAAGGCTCTGAAGGAGCCCGCCGCAGGCGCCTAATTTTCACAAGTTATCCAACGAGCCCGCCTCAGGCGCAGATTTTTTCGTTAAAGCAATCAGGGGGTGGGTCGGGTGTTGGGTCGCGGGTGGGTCGCGGGTGGGTCGCGGGTGGGTCGTGGGTGGGTCGCGGGCTGGGTCGCCAGCTGGGTCGCGGGTGGATCGCAGGTGGGTCGCGGCTTGGTCGCGGGTGGGTCGCGGGTGGGTCGCGGGGTGGCTCGCGGGTTGGTCGCGGGTGGGTCGCGGGTGGGTCGCGAGTGGGTCGCGGAGTGGGTCGCGAGTGGGTCGTGGGTGGGTCGTGGGTGGGTCGCGGGTGGGTCGCGGCTGGGTCGCGGCTGGGTCGCGGCTGGGTCGCGGGGGTGACGACGACAGCAACACAACGCAACAACCAGAATCCGCGCCGCGGAGTCCCACTTCAGCCACGCACCCAGGGACAGTAAATGACCGTTCGGTCCCCTCACTCTGATGAGGAGGCAAAAACTGGGAGGTCTACGCTAGAGCAACTAAGGGCGACTCAGCCCAACTCAAAGGCCACAGGGCCGGATTGAGCAGGATCAGGCGGAGTTCAATGGGATGGTGCGGGATTTGGCATACTTCCGACCACGGATCTACGGGCGCCAGTGCTGAATTAACCTCCCAGCAGGTGCACTCGAAAAGGGGGAGCAGGAGGGAGGAGGAGGAGAAGGAGGAGGAGGAGGAGGAGGAGGAGGAGGAGGAGGGGGAAGATGACGGCAGACGATGAACAGTAGGCCCCCAGAGGCTACTTGAAGGCTCCCAGGAAGCCTCAAAAAACCCCTCCAAAGCCCCCAAAAAACCGTCGAGAAGTCTCCGAATCCCCGTGTAAACCACCGAGACAAAGATTCTCTCTCTTTTTTTGCCAGATCCAAAGGAACGCGAGGGGCAAAGAGCACAAGAGAGCAAGGCGCACCAGGGGGCAAGGACACCAACGGGCTTTCTGGCGAGCCGACTGCTGATATGACTGGGCAACGGATCGGGGAAGTTCGATCAGCTCGTCGCGACGCCGTAAGCGTGCATGAGCGAGGTACAGGAATAGAACATATGAGCAAACAGGACCTAACAAAACTATCACGATGACAAGATGTCACCTCTCTCCCTCTCTCCCTTTCCTTTTCTCTCGTTCTCCCCTTCTCTCTGCCTCTGTCCTTATGCGAAGCTTGAGAAACCAGGGTCCACGGCGCGAAGGACCAACGCAGTCTGGCAAAATGTGTGTGCGTGCACGTATGCATGTATAGATACTCAAGTGGCGCATGCGTGCCGAGGGTCATACAGCAAGGCCTGCAGCCCGTCAGCATCGCATAAACTTGACAAAAAGAGGAATGTGACGTCGGATCCGAAGAGGGGGAGAAGGAGGAGGAGAAGGAAGGAGATGGAGAAGCAGGGGAAAGCAGAAAAATGGATGAGGATCACCAGGATCCCAGTTGGGAAGGAGATGGAAAAAGGGGGATCGCGGTCGACCGCAGGTGGGGTGGCCACGTGTGTGGTGCAGGAGGGTGTTCCATACCTTGCAATTGCGCTGAGACGAAGCCAATTGTTGGAGGATGCATCGAGCGCAAATGTTGTCGTAAAAAGTATGGCAACGACTTTGAATGCGTCGGGCTTCAATATTGGGGGGTGTCGCACACTGACGGGACACGAAACGCAGGTGTTAACGTCTGCTCGTGTCTACAAGTCTCATGATAGAAACCATTATTCTCGAGTCGAATCCTGGGCTTGGCCTGGCCGCAGGGGCAGGAAAAGACGCGCCTCGAACTGATTGCGGCTGTCGTTTAGACAGTGGCGGAGGGGTGGAGGGCCCAGGTGGCCGCTTGAGGGGAGGGGGGAAGAGAGGAGTGCTCCGGAGACTCGACGGGCGAGGAGCGGTGAGGATGCGCTGGGTCGCTGGGCAGGCTTGGCTCGGGAGGCTCAGAGGGGTTCTGCTTTTCAGCCTGGGCCAGTGCACTGGCATGTACCAGCAGCGAGGCTGTCCACATCTCAGCACGGGAACGCAGCGAAGCAGCACTCATAGGCGAACAACGTGGGCTGCCCATGCCCTGAACAACTGACGCCGGTGTACTCGAAGATGCTGGAGGTGGGCAGCCCAACCCCTGAACTACTGCAGTAGAAGTAGGCGCAATCTGTGATGCAAGATGGCTTCCCATACCCTGAACTGGCGTCGTGGAAGTAGGCGGGCTCTCTAATGCGCGCGCTGGGCCTCCCATGCCCTGAGGGTAAGTGCCTCCCGAGGGTCGGTGCCCTCTGCCTCCAAAGGCCCTCGATGCGAGCGAGGGGAGAGGCTCGCCCAAAATCGCGCGACAGGGCAGAGGAGGTGAGCAATGCGTGCCATCGGGTATCTCGGCTGGTAGGCGTACTCTGTGATGCGTGAGGTGGGCCACCCCTGCCCTGAACAGCTGAAGATGTAGGCGCACTCTGCGATGTGTGAGGTGGGCCCCCCATGCCCTGAACAACTGGTAACGAAGTAGGCGCGCGCGTAGATGCATGCGTTCGGCTTCCCATGCCCTGAACAACTGGCGTAGAAGTAGGCGCGCGCTCTGAAGCAGACGATTAGCTCCCAATGCCTATCATTGCCGCATTCTGTGGAAAACAAGGGCCCCATTGCGCACAACTATGCCGTGTCCAATGAAAAGCGATGAAGTCTATCCCATGAGTGCGTCCTCTAACTGCGTCAGCTTCGCGCGTGGTGTCCTCTCCATGTGCACCATCGGTCCCTGTCCTGGCTTGTAGCTCGCTCCCGTCTGGATAAGTGAGTCGTGATTCACGCTGAGATCGACGTCGCTCCTGGGGTTGAGGCCGATCTGTAGCTTGCACTGCGCAGCGTCGTGAGTGTCGCTGGCCTTCGCGAGTGGGGCGAGCTCGACGATCTGCTTGATGTCCTCAACTTTCAGCTTGTCGCAAACCGTCGTCAGGTTCAGCTGGTTGAGGCCGCCGGCGAACGCGCCTTCCCGATGAAGACCTTCGAGTAAGCCTGCGAAGGCCGCGGCGCAGATCGCGCCAATCTTCGTCATCTCTATGTCGATTTGCGGCGCCGCCGTCGAGCTGCGAAGCTTTTTTTTTTTTTTTTTTTTACCCGCGCCCGAACTCGGGCTCGGATCGCCGCGACGCTTTTGGTGCCAGGGGAGACAAGGTAGGACTCGATCAGGATGGCGTCGGTCTGTCCGTGCCTCGTCGCCACGTTGGGCAGCAGTTCCATGACTACGGGGAACATCCGCTGGATGTCTTTCATGTCCGTCTTCTCCAGCTCGAGCGAGTCCAGGCCCGCAAGCTTGGACTTCGACCCGCTCTTTCGGTCGCCATGCTCCCTTTGCTGGCGGCGGCGGGACTTGCGAGCGGGCTGCGCCGCTGCTGCCGCGGCAGCGCCTGCGTTCCGCCCAGCGCTGGGCCGTGATTTCGCCCGCGACATAGGGCCGAGGTACTGGGAGGTGCCCAGCGGCAGCGCGGGGTTGCAACTCGCCAGTCACGGCGAAAGTGAGCTCGCAGCCGTCGCTAGGGCAAAGAAGCTGCGGTGGATCGATCGTTCGCGTCGAAATTGAAAGCCGAGCGGTGTTTGTGGCGTCGTCCTGAAGAATGAGCATCGACGGGATGGTTCATCGCAGTCTGTCGGCTGGCGAGCGTCGATCGGCAGTTAGGGCATTGGTTCGTAATCGTGAATGCGTTCGCGTGCTCGTCCGCGCTCGCCCCCCTCCCCACTCATCGTTCAGTGAACTCGGAATGCTTGTTTTGTTTCAGCCGTGAACAAGCGCAGCGCGCCATCTTCGCACATGAGGCCGCGCGCATTGGGGGCCATTCCAAGAGACAGGTGCAACTGGAACACTGCGGGGTGGAGCGGGCTGCACAAGCCACCACTTTCGCACGCGTGCAATCGTGAGCACGACGAAGACACCTCGGCCTGGCGTCGGCCGAACAGCGTCGAGCAAATCGTCCCCGATGGCGTCGAAGCATGCGTGCCCATCGCCAAATACCTGCAACAACTTCGTAGCATCAGAGAACTGCAAGCGCCGCGGGTTGGTCAAATGCGCGGGGCCTCCACCGCCTGAGCGCGCATGGGGCCCAAGCGAAGTCCATCGTCGCCGTGGCATCGCATGATAGCATTCCAAATGCGCAGGCAACCAGTTGCGCATGATGCGCAGGTTCGCTTGCAACGCGATGCCATCGCTTAATGCGCAGGGTCTGCGCGCCCAGGGAAGGCGGCACCACCGTCAGACCCCCCCAATCTTCACGGGGAAATATGTTGCGCACAACATTGACTGTGCCAGAGGGGTCGTCGTCATCGGCGGACCGCATGATGCACGCGGTGCCTAGAAGGAGCGCGCGTGCATATCGCGCCACGCACGCATCAATCTGATCGTGTTGCGCCTTGGTCAGAACACGCGATTCGAGACCAGATGTGGCCGGTGATAATGCCTGATTTCTGGAAACCGCTCTCCGCCGCCCAAGATATCTGTATCTGCAATTATTCCAGAACCGCCCCGCGCTACCACAGCCACGCGCAGCAGCAATGCGCCGTGCGTTGGCCTCTACGTGATTGCGTCCGTTGGCCTGTGATGGAGCCTGGAAACAAAGGCGAGGAATTGGCTTCGCCGTCAGCAGGTACCTTGCGATGATGCAGGGCTCGTGCGTATCTGTTAGCGCCAGTGCCAACGCGCGTCGGTAGTTCAGCTTTGTTCCCCGCATTCTGTTGTAGACCAATCGTTCTCAGCTTGTCATTCAAGGTCTGGTCGGGGTGCTGTGCTTTGTAGGCCGCCATCTGCGAATCGTGACACATGCGTGTCTTGGCAAGGTCGTCTGCGTACTTGCGAACGCTGGGGTCGACGCTGGTTCCCGTGAACTCGCGCCCCGCGATCATCGAGGTGCTCGAAGCAGGAAGTGCAGCATTCCAAGCTGTAGTGGGCGGCATGAAAGACGCGCGTAACTTTTTCACCGCGTCGGCATCGCCCACGAAGCATCCCACCGCGCGCCGGTAGCCCTGAGCGCCAAACTCGTCGCTGATCGCACGTGCTGCTCGACGATGCCTGTATTTCATGATCGCGCAACCACCAGGGGAGTATATCTTGTCCACTACAGCGTCGAGGTAGGAATGGTCAACTGATGCGAAGGCGTTCGTCATGTCATGCTTCGTGACGATGTAGCTCCGTTGCTGCTTGGCGAGTCGCCACTGTAGTGCCAGCCCTACCGCGATAGCACCTGATCGCGAGCGTGCCCTCGCGTAGCCGTGCTCTGCGTCGTCCAACGGGGCGAATGCTAGAAGTTGTCTTGGCGCAACCCTTGTCTTTCCAAACGTGCATAATTCGTGAAATCGTCTAGTGCCTCGAGCGCGTGGCTTGTTATTCATCCTGCTGACTTGATATGTTTGCGACATATTCCATCATGAATTGAGCCGTTGATGTCTGCGACCTGCAACAAGTTGGGTGACAGTCGCATCGCCGAGTAGGGGGCCAAGGGGTACCATCGTGCTGTCGAATTCTCTGCAGCCGTAATTTTTCCGATCTTCACTTCTGTTCACGAGCAGAAGAGCCCAACTATCAGCAGGTATGGACCATTCGGGAGCAGCTCGCCGGAACTTGCAGTGCTTTCGTAGCCTGTGCTTGATCGCGTCGAAATCGCACTGTGCGTGTCTCCGCTGATGCGTAGTAGGGCAGGGGCGTCCGTCCTTCGCTGCAGCGACGTCGATAAAGTGGGTGATATTAATAGGGGCTGCCCCCATTCCAGCATCAGCGAACGGCAATGCCATATCTTCGACCCAGGTCTGCACGGAGGGGCGAGCGTCAGCAAGTAGCATCGCTTACCAGGGCCCTTGCCGTTGCCAGTAAGGCGTCGGCAAGCTCGCCATACCTCTGCTTCCAGCCCTGCCCCGTCAACCTTTTGGAGTTCACGAAAATGCCGCTCATCTCGTAGGTCGCGCGGTCGCCGTCGATTTGTTGTTGCATGCTGCGCTGCGACGTCGGAGGGCCAGCGTGCTCTCTAGGTCGTCCGTGAGTTTATGTGGTGCGAGCATAAAATCGTGAAGGGCGTATCAGCGTTGCTGCGCGAGTTGCTGGTACTCTATATCGATCGTGGACTTGTTCGCTTTAACGCATTCAAGCGCTCGTGATCGTATGTTTGATAGTACATGTTGCCATCCTGATTATATCGTGTGCCTTTTCCGCCCAGTCCGCAATTTCACGGTCGCCCCTCTCATTGGGGTGGTTCGACAAACCCATCCCCATGTCATCTCGGAGCTGCTTCGCCCAGTCGAAGAACCTTGCGTCGTTCCAGGCTAAGAAACTGCGGGCATAATCCCACTGCGGCGTCACCCGTGGCTTGCCATAAGTGAAGGTGCAGTCGACGTCTCTCTCTATATATATATATTATAGAAAGAGAGAGAGAGAGAGAGAGAGAGAGAATCATGTGATCTAGGAGTCGTTGTGATGGGATTTCCGGGAGTCTTTTAGTCAGGCGGTAAGCAATGTTGTGGCGCACGCGAGGTGTATTGGCAGCACGAGGTAGTCGATGTAGCTGGTGTGCCCGCGAACTCCGTGATAAGTAGGGCAGCGTGGGTGGCGTGTTCGTGGCACACGGGATGTAGTGCTGCTGCCCGTACGCGTGCATACCAATGTGGCGTCGTCGTATGCAGTAATGTTGGCACGCTCGAAGCCATCATGCAGGTCTGTACCGATGAACGCGCAAGTACGGTTCGGCAAGTGCGAAAGGAGTCGCGCAGGTAGCTGAACATTCTGTCTATGATAACTTCGTTCTTGGGGGCGGTGGCGAAGCGCTGCGATTTTTGTTGGGGAAATCTGCGGTGATAAACATGAAATCGAACTGTGAGCTCTTGACACGTGCTGCGCCGACACGGCCGCGAAGAGCGGTAGGAGGCTGCCATATCTTCATTATGTGTGGTTTTCGAAACCATCGTGGGCTCACACATACCTCCGTGGCGCATGATTTGGTGCCTGTCGTGTTCTTGTTGCTGCGATGCCAGCCAAACTTCAGCATAAGAAGCTTTGCCGATGAGTGTGTCTCGTAGGGGTCGAGGTCTTTGTTTGAACACCTGGGAAAACTACTGCATCGATGTGTTCCAGCTTTCGAGAGATCTCCAAACGCTTGTCGTAATCTTGCAGGAACATCGGATTCCATGACATGAGACGCATGTGGACCGTCAGTGTGTGACAGAAAGGCTCGACCTTCGGGACGTTGGGCATATCGTCCACGCTCTGGGGATCTTGGAAAAAATCGAGCCAGAGCTATAACTATACATATATATATATACATATATATACATATGCACATACATACGTAAATCTGCAAGGCGGATCTGCTGAAGACGGCGTGGCATAGACTTGCCCAGAGAGTCCCCCCGAGCCCCCACCCCTAACGAAACCGCTGCGGCAAGTAAGGCCTGCAGAACTGGTTATCGGTTGGCGGCCTTCACGCCATCGTGGGTCTCCGGCGTCCGTCCGACACGATTCGGGCACTCGCGGGACGCTCTCGGCGAGGCGCGGCTGCCAGAAAGTACCCCGCGGCTGGAAAACCGCTGAGAGCAGTCCATGGCCACCAAAAACCAAAAACCTCGTGGCGGAAATCGCTGAGGCAGCTCCGATCTCGTCGGCCCTGCCTGTTTGCAAGGCCGTGAACGGCGACAACAACATCGAAACCGACCAAACCGATAACGAAACTGAAACTGACCGACATCGACAGGCCGCAAACAAACTGGAAAGGCGCAGCGACACGGCAACGAAAAAATGGCAGACCGAACCGAACCGACCGAACGCAAGTGACTGCGACACAACCGAACCGTCCGAACCGTGAACGCCCTTTGATTAGCAACGAAGGGGCCCCTGACCCTGTGGGCGCGGACATGAGTTAAGAGGCTCAACGCTGTAGGGAGGGATACGTTGATTTCCAGCAGATGTATCCAATGCAACCACCCAGATTGATTACCTGTGTTGCCCAGACGGGCACCTAAGTTAGACTACGTCGTAAATGTATGTTTTCGGGTGAGTGAGCGTTTTCTTATTCGGACCTCCTATTACTGCGACTGTTTGCAACAGTGCGTCCTACGGGGGTGACCCCACCTGCTTGAAACAGGCGCCAAAAGCAGCCAGGGTCTACTCCATGAGGGGGGGAGGGGGTGCGAGGGCCCGCGCCGATCGGCAAAACCATGAATCAGAACACGATCGCTCAGGGTCGGTGTTCTCGATGACCCCCGGTCTGACCGCATCGACCCCATCCTGCGCGGGCGGCCGCGCCTGATCCGCGGCGTCCTTGGCTTTGGCCGCCGCGTGCGCCCCCTCCTCCGCCTGCTTCGAAGGTGCCTTGTAGCCTCCCCGTGCACGGCCCTCGAAGCGGCGAGAGGTGTCAGAGGGGACAGCTCCTGGGGGGTCTTCCTGGGAACGAGCATTCGAAGCCCGTAGAACACTACAATGGGAACGAGCTCCTGCGGGGTCTTCATGGGAGGTTCTGGCCACTACAATCAAACCTAGGACGGAAGAGCGTACCTCAAGAGCACGAGACCCTCCGCCGGCCAAAACACTTTTTCCGTCAGCGGCGAGGCGGCGAACTCCGCTCCAGGGAGAAGCTAGACAGGGGGCACAACAAACTAGCGAAGCGAATTGGCAGGCAAGCAAAGAGAGGGCGGGGGGGACGGCCGAGAGGTGGACGCCGGCCAAAGCACACAGAACATCCCAAAATACCGCCCCGAAAACGCACACGAATATCCAACAAACAACACGAAGAACAAGACTGAACCCCTCCCCGAACCGACCTCGATCTTATACCTCGGTCCGACTGTAAGCCGGATTAGGCCACAAGAAGCTCAATAATAAGCATGGACAAATTACAATTAAAGCTGGATGAGCGGAATTTGGCTTGGTCGGAGCGGTTTTCGGCCGCGGGTATACCAACGCTAATGCCTAATGCGAATTTCAACCTTCCATGAGTTGCAACCGAGGAGATGGAGTGGCCTTGGGGAGATCCAGCGTCAGGCATTCACATCGAGTCGGGAACTCGGATCGGACGGGGCTGTGCATCGGATCGGGCTGCATCGTCACGCAGTCAAAATCGCATTTCTGGAAAATCGAATTGGATTCGATTCGAGCCCAGCGAACTCGAAAACGAATCGGATCGATCGAGTCTGAACAGGCACTGCATTAGAGGGCCCCGGGCCTCCTCCAATCGAGGCCCGCCCCCTGCGCAAAGGTGACGCTGGAAAAACTCCATGTCTGCACTGTGCCTGATGTCACTGAGTTCCTTTCCGGCGTCTCTACTGCAGCTGGCACGGAGCGAGAGGGCTGCGACAGGGAAGAGAGCAGGACACAGCACGCCAGGACACACACTGCACGCCTCTGGCGCACACATGGGGCCCTGCGGCCCGCTTGAGAGTGTAGCTTTCGTGGCAGGGCCAGCAGCTGATGTGCGATGTTGGGAGGGGCAGTTTAGCTTTTCTTTTGACCGCCGCAATCGTGGGGAGACCAACAGGTACCGATACCGCTACTCCCCAGACCCCCCTCGGGGTGCGTTCTGACCAGGACTTCGAGGAGAATCCAGCGGTGGCGACGAGGGCCTCCGAGGAGGAGGCCACAACAGGGGAAAACGAGGACAGGGTAGAGGCGTGGTCGGGAGCGGCCAAGAGGAGGGTGTCCAAGAGGGGGGGGTGCAAATCATGACCGGCGGCATGTGCGCGGCCCAGCGGGGGGGCCTGGGACGTAATGAAATAAGAAGAGGCGCCATGAAATCTGAGGAAAAATCATGGCCCGCGCCATGAAATCCACCCCCCCCTAGTCATCACCCCCCTCTTTTCCGCCCCCGACGTGGGTACCTCTTCCCCCTCCGACAAATAGACGGCGCTTGGCGAGAAGACGACGGCCGGGGAGCCGCTCCGGACCGCATCCGCGGCCGCGCTGCTCTCGCTCCGGGCTCGGCGCCCCGTGCGCCCAGGGGAGAGAGAGCGGCGAGGCATGCCGGGAGCGCCCCGGCCGCACGCTGGGGCAGACACGCCGACCCCCCGCGGCGCGGCCTTCTCTTCCCGTGCCTATAGCGCCGGGGATGTCCTCGCTCGAGGATTCCCTCGAGGGATGCCCTCGAGGGATATCCTCGAGGGGCATCCTCGCTCGAGGCTGTACTCGTCTCTTCCGTCTCCCAGCGCCAAAGACATCCGCGAGGTGCCGTTGTGCACGGCCCGCATGCCGGGTCTTAGACCGGCGGCGCCAGCGCAGCATGGAGCCTGCAGAGAGCAGTGCGGATGCTTCTCCTCCTCCTCCTCCTCCTCCTCCTCCTCCTCCTCCTCCTGGAAGGCTGCGATGCGGGTGCAATGCTTTTTGAGGGGCGGCGACGGGGCGGCCCCGGGACACCTCCGTCACGAGACGGGGCAGGTCCATCTCGCCATGCGCAGTGCGATGTGTCATGAAGGACGGGGGGGGCTCCGCTCTCCTCCGCTTCCCCCCTCCTCCTCCTCCTCCTCCTCCTCCTCCTCCCTCCTCCTCCTCTCCTCCTCCTCCTCCTCCTCCTCCTCCTCCTCCTCCTCCTCCTCTTCCTCCTCCTCCTCCTCCTCCTCCCTTCTCCACCTCCCTGTTGCTCTTCCTCTTCTTCCCCCATTCGTTCCATACGCTCCGCCTCCTCCTGCTCCTCCCTCCTCCCCATCCGCCGTCTCTTCCTGCCCGCCTGCTCGCTCCTCGACGATGACTGTGTTGAGCGTGCTTGGACTTGTTATCACCCTCGGGTGGGCGGCATCGGGATTAATCTGCGGCTGATTCACAACTGTCGGAAAAGCTTCGGGTTGATACTGTGGCGCAAAATCTGAAGCTTGAAACATAACAAATGAAACACGAGTTCACCAGTAGACCCCCGGTGCGGGGGTGGACCTGGGATTCAATGTATGGTTCACCACAAGTGCGTTCCGAGGCTGACAATCGGTCCCAACGGTATCGCTGCCCAGAGAAAATGAAACAAAACATTTGACAAGGACTGCCAAATTACTCCGGTTCCAGAGAGCCTATGATACTTGTGTCTCTCTGAGCTCATGCGCCCCAAGCCAACTCGTCATCGCCACGGAGCAAGAAAAGAAAGGCATGTACTGCAGGGCTTGGCAGTACATACCAAAAACGCATTGCAAACCAATGTTGAATGCTGTGGCTGACTATCTCCAAACGCACGTTCATCTGTTGTATCAAACGGAAACGGGTGACCCATCAAGATACGATGTTACGCGAATGCAAACATCTGTGGACACTTCATGAACCGACCATGGCGGCGGGCGTCGGGACAGGGTGGCTCGGACAAGTCAAATACTAGCGAACGTTACAACGCCTGGACATTGTCGTGGAACATGTTTCTGCTCAACACTCTCTGCTTGGATCCTCGTCTCGAGTCAAACCAAATCTAGATCCATCTGACCATCCCCCTGACCCAGTTTCCCTCCTCTCCGCGTCTTCCATCCTGCGCCCCTGCACCCAGTAATGCCCTTCCCCCTGACTCTCTCATCATTTCGGAACTTCGCCCCCCCAAGTGCTCCCGAACGCACAAACGTCACCACTCCCTGCGCCCGGAGGTGTCGAACGGAGCTGTTGCTCTGGCCCAGCACCCCAAGTGAATCATATGCCCGCTTCCTGTGCCCACGGGAGGTCCCGCGGAGCGCCGTCCTTTGAGCTAATGAGCCAGAATTCGCCTCCCGAGACGCTACCAACCTCCCGACTATCGCCACTTGTTGCGCGTCTTTGGGGCCCCACAGAGGGTCTGCTTGCGGGCATCCGAATGAAACCTCGCCACCCCAGGGCGCTGCCGAACGCGCAACTGTCGCCAACTCCTGCAATGCAAAATACTGTCGCCAGTCTGTCAGGGCAGTGGGAGGTCCAGCTGAGCACCGCCTCACGGGCACCCGGCTGAGACCGCGCCTCCCGAGGCGCTGCCAGACGTCTTGCGACGGCTGGGCACGTCCCCGACAAGCTCTTTTTTGCGCCGAAAACTCCACAGATCGCCCGTTCGGGCACTCGAGGTCACAGCGGACGGTTGCAGTCCAGTGCGACGGGGACCCCGCGCGCATCTCTCCTGCGAGACGGCCCTGCTGCCCAGAAGCCGACTACATGACTCACTCCAGAAACCCTGACTCCAAACATCCCGACGTCTCGCTTTCAATGCCGCCGCCCTCGGCCCACCGTTCGCCGCTGGCGGACCCGCCGCCGGTGTGCCGCCGCCCTCTTCCGCCGAGGGCGAAACGAGCCGCAAGGGCGAGGCTGCTCTCTGGCGCGCGCCCCCCACGCAGTCAGGGGCGGCACGTCAGTAATTGCGGAGGCCCGAAGAAGGGGGGCCTCTGAGGAGGCACGGGGGAGGAGGAGGAGGAGGAGGAGGAGGAGGAGGAGGAGGAGGAGGAGGAGGAGGAGGAGGAGAGGACCTCCCCGACCCCGCTCGCCCCACGCCCTCCGCGAGTAGCGGGGGCAGCCTTCCTTGGAGAGGCCACACCCCTCGCGAGCGTCCCCCGCTGGGCCTGCGGCCACGCCCCAAAGCACCCGCACCCCCCGCGGCTCGTGCGAGCGCCCCGACCGCTGGGCCCCCCAAGACCTGGCGCTGGGGGTACGCCGATCGAGGCTGCCCCTGGGGAGAGGGGCGAAGACGTCACGTACAGGGCAGTTTTTTTTTTTTTTTGTTTAAATGTTTTTTCTTTTAAACACATACTGATAAATGTATGAATCAATGTATGCATGAGCTCATCGTTGCTTTTTAACACTAAATCCCTGCACTTTTCCTGCATGATCCGCACGCGGAGCATGTATTAGAAACGGCACTGTAGGAGGCCACTCCTGGGAGGTCTCCTTCAGCACGATCACGGGCCACCGAGCCAGACGAAGGGGCCACTCGCGCGCATCGGCCGCAAACTCAACTGGGGATGGAGCCCGGTGGAGCCGGGTCCAGCGGCAGCGGGCTGGACTGTGGTGGATTACGGCCGGTTCTCGACCACGGATGTGGCAGCGCCGATGCCGAGAATTGACCCCCAAGGAGCTGCACCCTGAAAGGCGAGGGAGAGGGTGCCCGCCCTGCAGGGGCCGCCGGCAGCCGCGCACCAGGCGCGGCCCCCGCGCCGGGACAGGGCTGGACTGGTCGGTCGCGTCTGCCGTGCAAGTCAGGGGCGAGCGGCAAGGAAGAAGAAAGAGACGCCGCGTCTCTCGATGGCCCCAAGAGGGCCCAAGAGACCTCCAAGATGGGCCCATGGGGGGCCTACGATGATCCCACGATGGGCCCACGAGGGCCCCACGACGGCCTCCACGATGGCCCCACGAGGCCCACAAGGTCGGCGGCACCGGCCGTAGGGCCTTCGCAATAAAGAGGCGCCGCGCCTCAAGACGAGCCGTCACACACCAGGGCGGCGGCAGGAGCAGGAGAGGGGGATACACGAGATAGGGGATGCGGCAGCGGCACCCCGCCCACCTTTCTTGAAGCACTCGAACCCCTCCGTGCCGTCGGCTTTGCCCACGTCTGTGGCGGCGCCCGTGCCGTCGTCGTTCGCCGCGCCGAACCAGCTGAAGTCTTTGATCCCCTCGGGGGACGTCATCTGCCTGCTGCGGTTGGAGAGGGGGCCGCGCCGAGCCGAAGAAGCCGGGTGGGCCCGGAGGTGGCCATCGCGCGCCGACGCGGTATGTAGCAACGTCCGAGGCCGATGGGCTGGTCCTTTTGCCCGCCACCCTCTCTCGTGGGACACCAAGCTTTGCAAAACAGCGACGGCAACTGCGCCGTGGACCAAGTCTGGCAAGGCTTGTGGAGCGGTTGCCACTGCGGCGAGGGGGGGAGCAAGCGCACGAGATGTCATGAGGAATATGGCCAGGCCCCCCTCCCAGTCGAGGCACTTCTTGGGGGAGGCGTTCTCATGACGGGGGCGTCCAAGATGGGGTTCGCAAATCAGGGTCTGAGGCGCGTGCGCGGCCAGGGGGGGCGCCAAGGGACGCACTGAAACAAGAAGAGGGGGCCACGACATCCGGGGAGAGATATCTTGGCCCTGGCCATGGTATCCCCTAATATTAGGTCGGGGATGTCCTCCTACAGGCGATGTTTTAAAAGAAACTTAAAACAAATCGTCAAACAATCGTCAAACAGAGTCATACACGAACGAAAATCGTTCCCAGAGTATTGTTAAAACTATTCTTGACTATTCCCCCTGTAGATGGACATGCCCGACCTAACCCTGGTCATCCCCCCTCTTGCGTGCCCCCGACTCATGACGAACCGCTCCAGCGCCTCAGAGGGGAAGACGGACCGCACCCGTTCGCGGGCGATGGGCTTGATCTCCTGTCCTTAACAAGAACATGAACCCGGCCTGTCATTCTCCTCCTCTACTCCTCCTTGTGTTTGCTCCTCCTTCTCCCCCATCCCCCCTCTCTCTACCCTCCTCTAATGAAGTTATTCTTGGTTTGCAGGAAGAGCGCATTCAATGGCCAAGCCAGCGCTTTGCCTGTTGCCGACGCCCAGTTGTCACGCCTTCGGCAAATGCCTTCTGGAGGCAGGATCAGCACCCTCCTCACCCTGAACTGACCAAGAAACGGTGATGCGGCGTCGTGCTTAATACCGTCCAAGCTCTTCGCCACAGGCGGTGAAGCACATTTGAATCGGGGGTATCGGGGTGGGCACGCTCAATTACACTTGCCGGTCTAGGAAGGGCTGCAGTTTAAAGAACATAGCTAACATTGACAGCTTTCAGCACCTACTCAGGGCTGCTTCGAGGCCGTGAGATGACTCTGTCGGCATATGACCCTTACAGGTCAAGTCGAGCAGATGACCCTGTCGGCGCATGCGAGGGATTTATTTGTCCACTCGACACTTCCACACTGTCCCAGTAGACACCTGACGCCCATGCAAAACTATACCCCCGTTTCCTGCGGCCACCCCGGGACCTCCGAGCTCGCAAAACCGAAATGAAAAGGCAGACATCACAACCGAGTCGACGAAGGGACAACCTCTTCCTTTGATCCGGTCTCCGCGGAGAAGGCGGTAATGTGGGGTGCACTCTCCGCCCCCTTCGTTTCCTCGTTTTCTCCATGCGATCTTCGGCCCAGCCTGGCCATCTTCGGGACCTCCGAGATGGCCAACCCGGGGCTAGCGAATGGGCTCCTCAAGCTCGCCAATCCGAGGTGAGTCGGCCTAAGTCTTGGTGGAGTCGTAAGGAAGCTCCTTGCCTTTGATCCCTTCCCCGCGCAGGGAGGGGGGCGGGGACCTGGGGTCGTTCTCTGGGGGTTTTCGGGGAGTGTCCCAGGAGGGTTCCAATGGTGTGTGTGTGTAAGTGTGTGTGTATGCGTGTGTGTGTGTGTGTGGTGTGTGTGTGTGTGTGTGTGTGGGTGTGGGTGTGGGTGTGGGTGTGGGTGTGCGTGTGCGTGTGCGTATACATATAACGGCGCACCGGGTCCGGGGGCCCGGGGCCGGGACCTTGACCACAAATGTGCGCCCCGGGGGGCCCGGAGGCTCGTCGGGGCTTGCCAGAGGCCTCCCCGGTCAGACAAGACGGCCCAAGAAGCGCCCAAGACGGCCCAAGAAATTTCCAAGAGGCCTCCAAGAGGGCTCCAAGATGCTGAAGATGGCCTCCAGACGTCCAAGGACGCCCCCAAGACGCCCCAAGAAGCCTCCAACATGCGTCCCAAGAGGGCCCCTAGACGCAAAAATTGGCCCATTCCCTCCGTAAAACGTACATTTTTCACAAAGTCGCCTTTTGGGCTTTCCGACGTTACAGGACGGCCCAAGAGGCGCCCAAGACCGCCCCAAGACGGCCCAAGAAGCTTCCAAGAGGGCCCCAGGACAGCCCAAGAGGGCCCCAAGACGGCCCAAGAGGCGCCCAAGATGGCCCAAGAGGGCCCCAAGACGGGCCCAAGAGGGGGCCCAGAGGGGGACCACGAACCGCAAGCTCGAGCCTTCCGCCCCAAGAGGCCGCCAGGAGGCCCCAAGGAGGCCCCTCAAGAGGCCCCAGGAGACCCCCAAGAGGCCCAAAGGAGGCCCCGAGAAGCCCCAAATCGGCCCCCAAAATGCTTCGAACCTGCTTCCAGGAGGCCCCCGACAGGTTCAGAGGCTCCCGAGAAGCTACGTCAAACTCCCAGCGAGCGGCCGGACGAGGCCCCCCACAAAATCACAAGAGGGTTCCAGTATTTGTATCCTTCAGCGCTCTCTGGCCTTCTTCCCCCTGCCCCCTTCCCTGCGACTTTCGTTGACTCAAGCTCGCCTCCTAGCTAGAACCTAAGCGCGCGCGAAGCGCGCGCGTGGTTCTAGTGTGTATGTATGTGTGTATGTGTGTATGTGTGTGTGTGTGTGTGTGTGTGTCTGAGGGGGTCATTGTCCCCAACTCCACCACCTCCTCCTCCTCCTCCTCCTCCTCCTCCTCCAACTCCAACTCCAACTCCAACTCCAACTCCAACTCCAACTCTTTCTCCTCCTCCCACCCCTTTATTCCACCTTGTTGTGTCGCTGCGGATCTCTCAAGCTCGGCAGAACCAGCCGCAAGGCACTTCGGACAACAAACGTGAGCGACAGGGCGATGTTTCATCGCTAACCACCATCTCGTCCTCCTCCACCCCATCCTGCTATGGTGAGAACTCGGAGCCAAGGGCCGCTGGGGAATCATACGTGCGGGTACTGCCGACATGCATTCTGGCAACGCCTGCACAACAATTGATCAACGATCTGACTACAGCCAATCACGCATGCTAACTGTACAAAATGAACGCGCGCATGCTGATGACACAACACCGTGCTACACAGCCACGGCTCATCGCAAGCAAAGGAACTTTAGTCCAGAAAGAGATGGCTCAGAAAGGGAAGGGACAGCCGGCGACGGCAGAGGGGTGGGAGCAGACTACAGGAACAAAAACCTGCATGACCATACACTTTCAGAAGTCCGATTGGGCTTTTGGAGATTAGCGACGGACCCCCCTCCCCAGCGCGTGGAGCGCGCCAGCAGGGGGCGCCAGAGGCGCCGCCAGGGGGCTCCAGCGCCTGTCCAAGAAACCCGCGCGGAGCTCAGACACTTCGTGTCTGTGCTGGTGTGCCCGTGGCGGGGAGACAAGCAGCGCAGTCGGTCAAGACGAGGTGCCGACGACGACTCGGCAGACGGACAGCGGGGTCGCGCACCGCGCTGCGTCAGCGACACAGCTCGGTGTGCCGCGCCCTGGTGCTCAGGTCACCGAGCGTCGCCCGCGATGCGCGCATACCCCCGAGCCCTCGCAGCCTCGCGCCGCCCCCGTTGGGCGGAGGGCGACCGCTCTGGGAGTATCTGACACAGACCGCGACGCTCGAAGCGCAGTGAGCTTCGCCCCCCCCCCCCCACGGGTGACCGACCTGGGAGCGCGCTTTCCTGTTGTGCAGGTTCAGCCCGGGAGCCACTCCCGGGCGCGCCCGCAGGTGGCACAGACGAGCCGAGCCCAGCGGTGCTGCTGCCAGCCGCTGGCCGCACCTTGACACGCATTCGAACGCAGCACCTGACAAGCACTCGCTCTGGCACGGCTTCTCCTGGAGCGTCCAACTCGCAGCTCGGAGGTGGCCGCCGACGGACTACGGCACGGGTCCAAGGGGGGAAGACGACGAGGGCGGCCGCGCGGGGGGAGGGGGAGGGGAAAAGGGTTGGAAGAGTTCCGCGTAGAGGGGATGCCGCACACATGAGAAGCACGATTGATGGGAGAAGCAGGTGGGCTGGCACTGCCTGGATACGTTGAGGGTGCACAAGCCCTCGGTCGGATTCCACGAGTAGCCCAGGCACTCCGAGTGCTTGCTGCACAAGGCCTCGCAGGAGTCCTTCGGAGCCGTACGTTTTGCGACTGCATTGAAGCATAGCCCACAAATCGTCATGACTTTTATACCCAATGAAGCCGCGTTGACGCTCACACGCCCAAAATCGCCCATGGCCAATACTTTTCTTACCCTGGGCCAACGCCGCGTCGAAGCTCGCTCCCGTGGATATCTGAACCACCGTCACGGCTACAATCCCCACCTCCATCCAACCCGTGACATCGAAAACGATTACCCCTGGAAACCCCAGCAGGAAAGCACTCAACGACCTAACGACTAAGACTGTACAACTGAAAACTACACCTCCTCTCTCCCTCCTCTCTCCCTCCCTCCATCTCTCTGCCTATCTGCCGCTCTCTCTCTCTCTCTTTCTCCTTCTTTCTCTTTCTCTCTCCCCCTCTCTGTATAAATAATTTGTCGTTATATTCATCACCCTGCCACTGTACCAGTAGTAGCGAGAGAGCGGGGGAGGCTTCCCTGCCGTGCGCGGTTTCTGCGGCAAGCCTATCATCCTGCAGCCTCAGCTGCCTCCGCTGCAGACTGCCGCTTCTCACGCAGGGCGCGCACACCAACAACGATGGCTGTTCGGGCTGGGCGCGGCCACCTTCTGATGCTGGGCGCCACGTCGCACGTGCTTCCTCTGCGCAGGGGAGGGGACAATTTGAAAGAGCAGCTCCCCTGTCCTTGGATGGCCGGTGCTTCGCATAGTAGGACGAGGTCGCATTCCCCCCCGGCCCCAGGCACGCACCTGGCCAGGCGGGCCACGAGGGAACCAACGAGTCAGGAGCGAGGAGTGAGACGAGTGTGAGGAGGAGGAGGAGGAGGAGGCAACAGGCTAGGACCAGGGTGAACATCAATGATTGCACGAGCTCTCGCAGAGGATCTGGCATTTTGTGGTGGTGAAGATGGGCCAGCATGCAGCTGAAGGAGGGAGGCGCGGGAGGATCAGCGACGAGCATTAAGAGCAAACGAGTAATGAGCACGGCGACAACAAAAGGCGAAAGAGAAAGCTTGGCACACCAGAGTCAAGACGCGAGCTTGTGATCAACATCCACGGACGCCATCCAACTATTTCAGGACAAATGCGCAACTTGTGTGTTGACCCAACCGAGAAAAAAAAACACGCTCATGTCATGCGGTCCTCGTCCGATGGTGTGGTGCGTGAGAGCCTCTGACCAGAGGTATGGTGGCCCCAATCCAGGACTCAGTGGGATTCTCGACTGGCCATATGCTTTGGGGCCTCACTCCGGGATGGACGACGGGGGGCGCCCATCCTCGACGGGGATGCGCCCAGAGTGTCCCCGGGGGTGTATCGCTTCCCCGACTGCCAGTACATCCTTGCAGTGGGGAGTTCGGGGATTACGAAGAGGAGTCGCCTACGAGCCACTTCCCCGCCTGGCAACCACGCGCGCCAGAGCGCGCGACAGCTGAAGAGGAAGTAAGTAGGCAAATCACTCGGCGAGCGGCGGTTTGGACGAGTGACCGGAGGGCAAGGGAGAAGGAAGGAGGACTAGGACAGGTCCAAGAAAAGACGAAGAGAAGGAGGAGTGGGAAGAGTGGGAGGAGGAGGGATGAGAAATGATGACCCACTCCACCCCTTCTCAGCATTTGTTTACTCCTCATGTGTCATCTCTTTCTTCTCAGATCTCATCTCCCAGCGTCTTCCTATCCTCCACCACCTCCTCCTCCTCCTCCTCATCCTCATCCTCAGCACCATCATAAGTATCATCATCATCAGCATCAGCATCTTCATCATCATCATCAGCATCAGCATCATCAGCATCATCATCGTTCTGACCCTCCTCGCCTTCCCCTCATGTTGTCCCACAAGGTGTTCAATGTACTCAAGGTTTGGGCTGGGCTGGTGGGTGCGGTTGGACCCTTGGTGCTGCCAAAACTCAACTGCTGGGCCTGATGTTGATCGATCAACCGTACGCTACAGCTGGTCGTATCTTCGTGCTACCAACTAGCACTCGCGGGCCTACTGACGACAATCCCTGTGCAATCCTTTGAACCGGCTTGTCTCTCGTGTTGCCAAGCTTGCACTCGTAATTAGCCTGATCACGATCAGCCAGGTGTTCAAACCTTGCAGCCTGCCGGCTCTGCTCCACTCCATTACTCCACTCCTGGGAATGACATTGATCATCTGGAGCCCCAGCCCTTCCGCGTTCGGTGATCTCCGCGATGCAGAGCTCCACTCCAAGAGCTGACTGGGAGGACTCCAACTGCACACCTACACCGAACCGAGCCTGGCCAGGCGAATCCTGGGCCCATGGATCGGTGGATACGCCCTCATGGCTCCCCAAGGAAGGCAAGTACAACGACCCTGGGCCCAGGATGAAGCGTTGCCCGGGTCGGTGTAGGTGTGCGGCTGATGCACCGTGGCTGATCGTGACCTTGTCCAGACCTCCAGCGCTCGGTGGCTCTGAAGCTGCCCATCCCCCGCTGCCAGGCCCGATTCTCGAGCGCCCAGGCCCAACTTGCGCAGCGTCTGGCCGTGGCGATGGAGGAGGCCACGGGAGCCGAGGGCGCGGCCGAGGCGATGGAGGAGGCCGCGGCCGAGGCCACCGCGGAAGGCGCGGTCGACGAGGCCACCGCGGAGGGAGCGGCCGAGGCGATGGAGGAGGCCGCGGGGGCGGAGGGCGCGGCTCCCGCTCCAGCTCCTTCGCTCCCTCGCTCCTGCACGCAGCTCCGCCCCACCTCGGGCTCCAGCCCGCGCCCCCGCCCCAGCTTCAGCCTCGCTCCAATCCCAGGCCGCAGCTCTCTGGTTGACCCAAAAGGGTCCAGCGACAAGGGGGTGGTGCAATAGATCTGGTGCAAGTTAGATCCGTGGGGTTGCAACAGATCTGGGGCGTAGGATAGATTCCGGAGCGCACATGTCTTGCTGGATTTGGGCGTGCAGTGCATTACTTGCAAACCAATGCAAAACAACTCTCGAGCGCAGTACATTTGCAATACAATTGCCGCAAATCTATTGCCACACCCCCTTTCAGCTGGACCTTCTTTTGGGTCAACCAGAAGCTCCAAGTCCAGCTCCAGGTCTAGCTCCCGCTCCAGCTCCGGCTCCGGCCTTGGCTCCACCTCGGCTCCAGCCGCAGCCCCAGCCCCAGCCCCAGCTCCAGCCCGATCTCCAGACAAAGCGCCGTTCCATCCGCAGCTCCAGCAGAGCTCCTCCCAAACTCGAGCTCCAGCTCTAGCTGAGACTCCTCAGTTTCACCGACTGAGCCAGATTGCACAACGCGAGCTGCAAATCCCGGGCGAGCCCCAAGCCATCATCCTGCACAGCAGCGCTTGCGAACCACACGCTGCGACGCACTCATCGGGAGGCCTGGAGCAACGAGCCTCGCCCCTCGCACCAGCGTCCTTCTGGCCATGGGGGAACTCCGACCCTCCCTGAGGTTCGACGTGGCGAACGACTGCAGCATCGCAGAGGAGCTCGACCGGAACCCCGGCCCACCTTCGGGGGCGTCCAAGAGGGGGGGGTCGCAGATCATGGCCCGAGGCGCGTGCGCGGCCAGGGGGGGGGGACCCGCGGACGCATGGAAGCGAGGAGAGAGGGAGCCATGACATCCAGGGAGAGATCATGGACCCAGCCATGAGGTCGAACCCCCCTAATCCTCACCCCCCTTTGGGCCGCCCCCGACATATCTCTGTCCGCGGCATTTTTCGAGCCGGGTCTATCCGTGAAGGCCCCGGGGCCCGAAGCAGGGCAGAATCGCCCGTTGCAACCAAATATGCAACGCCCCGGGATCATCCGTTACCGAAAATGTCCAGGATGAGCCGGTCGCGATTGAGACCAGGCCTGCGACGCTCTCGAAACCCTCGCTTGAACGCCGTCTCGCCGTTCCTTTCTAGTCCAAAAGCCGGAATCAGGTGACAATGTGTCTTTGGGCCCCCAGCTATGGGAGAAGGGCTCCCTCCAACAAGCCCATGTCGCGAGAGTGCGTCTTAACAGTGAATTAAGTCAACAGCGTAGTGCCGATAGCCGATAGCGTCGTGTCAACAGCGTAGTGTCGACAGCGTAGTGTCAACAGCGTAGTGTCAACAACGTAGTGTTAACAACGTAGTGTCAACAACATAGTGTCAACCAACGGCGTAGCAACAGCGTAGTGTCAAGAGCGTAGTGTCAAGAGCGTAGTGTCAACCAACAGCGTAGCAAGTGCATAATGTCAACTGCGTAGCGCCAACAGCGCAGTGTCAACAGCGTACTGTCAACCCACACCGTACTGTCGACAGCGTATGGTCAGCTGCGAGAACCAACGGCATGGCGTGAAGGCTGAACGAACCGTCGACCAACAGCGCAATGTCAACATCGTAGTGTCAACAGCGACGTGTCAACAACGTAGTGTCAACAGCGTAGTGTCAATAGCGCAGTGTCAACAGCACAGTGTCAGCAGCATGAACCAACAGCGTAGCAGAAAACAACGTCGTCGACCAATAGCGTAGTGTCAACAGCGTAGAGTCAACAGCGTAACGTCAACAGCGTCGCGTCAACAACGTAGTGGTAACATCGTAGTGTCAACAGCGCAGTGTCAACCAACGGCGTAGCAACAGCGTAATGTCAACAGCGTGGTGTCAACATAGTGTCAACAACGTAGTGTCAACAGCGTACTGTCAGCAGCATAATTCAACAGCGTAACAGGAAATGATAGCGTAGCGTCGACCAGCGCAGTGTCAACAGCGTAGCGTAGCGTAGCGTAGTGTCAACAGCGTAGTGCCAACAGCGTACTTAAAGCTTTAATCAGCGTCGTGTGAACAACCTCGTGTCAGCAGCGTAGTGTCAACAACGAACTGTCAACGTCGTAGTGTCGACAGCGTAGTGTCCACCAACAGCGTACTTCGACCGCGTATTGTCAGCAGCGTGAGCCAAACATATAGCGATAAATCAAAGCGTACCGTCGAGCGACAGCGTAGTGTCAACAGCGTAGTGTCGACAGCGTAGTGTCGACAGCGTAGTGTCGACAGCGTAGTGTCAACAGCTCAGCGTCAACAGCGTAGCGTCAACAGGGTGTAAAAAGCGTAATGTCAGCAGCATGAAACCAACAGCGTAGCGGAAAACGACATCGTAGCGTCGACCAACAGCGTAATGTCAACAGCGCAGTCGTAGCATGAACCAACCAGCACACAGAGGATTGCCTCTGTTCCCAGGGCGGCCAGTTCCTGGGCTCCACGAAAACTTTTCACGTGCGCAACTGGGGTCTTGGGTGCATTTCCGTATGGGGCCGCATAGCGCGTCAGGCGTGCACCGAAATAAGCAGGGCGGCCGCATGTGAATTGCGGCCCTTGGTGGAGCTCCCTTCGGACCCACGAAGCATGTGAGGGGTGCGCCGAACTGAATTGCACTTGTTTCAGGGGGTATCCCACGCTCCAAAATGGGTTCGGGGGCTGCACAAATCGCCCAAGACGCGGAGAGAGCCCAGGACACGGGCATCCACACGCTCCAAAAGACGAGAAAACGCGGAGAGAGCCCGAGACGCTCCCGAGCAGGACCAAAAGGCCCCCAAAAGACGGCCCAAGAGGGCCCCCAAGAACCGGACGGAGAGCAAGAACCGAGACCCCCAGGACGCCTCCGGGAAGACTTGAGATGCCAGTGCGGGGCAACTGGAGGAGGTAGGAGGAGGAGGAGGAGGAGGAGGAGGAGGAGGAGGAGGAGGAGGAGGAGGAGGAGGTAGGAGGTAGGAGGTAGGAGGTAGGAGGTAGGAGGAGGTAGGAGGAGGAGGATGGAGGAGGAGGAGGAGGAGGAGGAGG